GCGGCAACGAGGCCGAGGAGTTACGTCAGTCAGCTCAAGTTTAAACGATTTTTAGGTATGCCTTTTCGTGACTCTGCATATTTTTAAACACATTTTGCTTGAAAAGCAATTCAAACCTTTTTAGAACATTGTCAGAATATTGGATTTGGGCAAGGGGAGGGGTTCTGTGGCAGAATACAGAGGGGGAACAGTATCAGGATTTTTTTTCTTTTTTTTTGAAATACTACCCCAGCTTATAAGTTGTTACTTTAGAAGGTTAAACTCCTTTGCGCATGTACAGAGGCGAAGCCACTTGGAATTATCCCAGGGATTTTTTTGATGGTCATTGTAAAGAAAAATATTTTGAAGTTGGAAGAAGACAAAAGCAAATAATATTAAGAAATTGGCAAAAATTGTAAAATTTCTTAATAAAATTATTATAACGGTAAGAAATGTTTCGGTTCATTAAGTCATATACATTTCTTACCATTACCACAATTGGACCCCTTTTCAGTGCTACAGTTATGGTAATTAGTGTAAATTTGATTTTAAATAATTGTGTTATGTTAAAATTAGTTGTATGGAAATTAGTAAAAGTATGTTATTTCTTGCAAATATTATCCGCTGATATGTAAACGTCCACCGGTTATCGGCGAAATGAGTCTCACCTTAACTGTTTTTTCAAAATTGCCATCTCTCGAAAGACTTAATGGACCGAAACATTTCTTTCCAGTTTGTTGACTTTTTTAGCTTTTAAATACGACGATTTTCATTTTTCATAGCTTTTTCTATTTAATTTTTCTTCACTTTTAATTAGCAGTTCTTCTGGTCGACGTTTTTTGAAGTTATGAGAAGCATAATTTTTGAACCATTATCAAAATAAACTGTAATAATTACTCCTTTTTTTGAGGTTTTCATTTTCGACGTCGTTGTTTTATTATTATTTTTCTCCTCACAACGGGCTTTCTGTGCCTCCGGCAAAGCGCACTGCTCAGTTCGGCCAGCAAAAGGCCACAGGTTCGTACTTTTTTTAAACTTTTTTGAGAAAAAATGACGTTTTGAGCTATTTCTGAATTTCAAGCTTTTACGTGATTTCAAGCTCTGACCCATTTTTCGGAAGGACAGATATTCCCCGATACCGCTGTAATATCATCGATCTGATAAGAGGGAAGATTCGCCGTTCTGATCTTATCGCCGCATATCTTCATCTCCCCGAATGCGGTGGGTCTTCGGAAATCCATTCCACATCGGAATTCCACTAATACTGCAGCTATGCTTCACTGGTTTTGCGGTCTCTAAACTTGGAATTTCTAAAAAATTTGAAAATTTGGAACTCCGCGGAAGCTTCTTTTTTCTTAAAAATTCAGTTCTCACTCTCGACCATTACGTGCCTGCCTAAAAAGACGAAATTCTTGTCGAAATATACGACAATCTTCTAATGAATATTGTCCACTAACACTCTCAAAAAAAACATCCTTTAATCAAAAATAAGAAACATAAAACAGAGGTCACGCGTTGTCCGAGTGGTCATTTTCCCGCCACAGGCAATTTATTTTTGTTATTAGTAAGACAGACAGTTTATTCTTTTTTTTTATTTGTATATAACTCTATGTTCGGTTTTTACCACATTATCTTAACAACTATCTTCCCTACTACCATACACTAAATTCCATTTTTTCTGCCTTTAATCGCAAGGTATTCGAGCTATGCTGGATTTCCTTCGATTAGCATGGTCCACTACTTCACAAGGTAAGCTTCGGCCTAATTGCGACCCGCATAACGCCACTTTACAGCTCCGATCTTTTTGTCGACCCTATTCAGCATGACCAATTTTGGCTGGGCTTCTGTCACCTTTTATTGTATTTTCATAATAGCTGTTGGATAAACCCCCATTAGTGATGTTAATGGGATGTTTCTACGCGCGGAACTCAGCAATTCCAGGCTTTTCGTTCTTGGGCAGAGTAGAAAATGCCAAAAAAACTAACAAATATTCAGACTAAAAATGACAAAGATTTTTTTTTTTTGAATATCTGTGTTCTTCTGTTGCTTGACAGACGAAGCAGATTTTACAGAAGCAACGAAAACAGGGAAACGGACCAAAAGTTGTGGATACCAAATTCTCAAAAAAAAAAAAAAAAACTGTAGAAACACAGCAGTTT